CAATTTCCAAACCTCCGCCTCTTCTGTTCCCGGTGCCGACCCGTGCTGACCGTATTCCCACACAGCTGCCCGAGCCTGGGAGCCGTCTTGCAGGCTTTCTCCTCCCGTATCCCCTGCACCAGACGAGCCTCTTAGTCTCACCCATCCTGCCTCTTCGCCTCTCTCTTAATCTATTCCCGCCCTTCATTTTCGCTTCCACTTCCCGGGGCCAGGCCTTCGTGTTGTGTCCTAATCCCAGTAGCCTCCTTGTCGCACTGGAGAGACTCCTGCCCTCCGTGCTCCCCTGAGCTCCCGTCGGGAAATGACAGTCTGGTCATATGACTTTGCCCAGAACGTTTCCCGTCACCGTCCCGATGAAGCCCAACCCCAACCTCGGCCCATTGTAGAATAGCCTTTCTTGCCTTGTGTGTAGCAAGTTCCTCTTTTGTTCTTTTTCTTTATCTTTTTGTTTTTGTGAAGCCTTCTCTGATCACTCCAGGTTAAACATTTACTTAGTGCCCACTCCTTGTGAATTGGCTTCTTAATTATATTTCTCTAGCTTTATTGAGATATAATTGACAAATCAAAATTGTATATACTCACAGTAGACAAGATGTTTTGAGACACGTATACGCTGTGAAATGTTTGCCACGGTCAAGCTTATTGGTATATCCATCCCCTCACAGTTACCTTTTGTTTTTTGTTTTGTGGTGAGAACATTCAAGATTTACTCTCTTAGCAAATTTCAAGTAGACATTAGAGTATTATAATGTCACCATGCTGTCCGTTCGATCTACAGGACTTGCTCCTTCTGCATGCCTGAAACTCCTTTGTGAATTGATTCTCTCTTATATACGACCTGCTCTGATCTGTGTCGATTTATTTAGTTGTCTTTCCTCCTAAGCAATGAGTGCTGGAGGTCAGGACCATGCCCTTTCCATCTTTGTATCCAGAGAGCCTAGAACAGCAGCGGGTTCATCAGGGGCAGTAACAAAATATTTACTGATTAAATATTCACGAGTTACTTTAATTATCGAATGCTGCTTGTTGAGAGGAATAGATGTTTGACTCCCTGACAGTATGCCCAGGGAGGAAGAACTATTGACAAGTGAGGATAATTATTTCTCCTTCACACTGTCTCCACTTTCCCTCTTCTCTCTACATGTTCCAGCAGCTCTCTCCCCACTTGAAGATAAACCCTGATTTGCTCCCAACATCGCAGAGGATTGTTGGCATGAAGGAGAACACACAGACTCTGGATTCAGATGAGACCGGTTCTTGGTTTTCTCAACTGTAAAATGGACATGAGGAGATGATGGCTGGGAAGTGCCTGAACCGTCGTCCGGCACACTTAGGCGCTCCGTGTGGCTCTTTCTCCTTCTTAGCCTTGGCTCATGGGGGATAAATTGGCCATAAATCTGCTGTCCTGTTGTCTGTCTTTCGTTCAACCCTTCTTGTCTCGCAACTGTTAAAACTTTGGACTCCTGGGAATAGAGGGAAATATTTTAACTCTACGCATCTGATAATACTATTAAGAATGTTTTATGTTAACAAAAAGAGTGAGAGACACAAAAAATATTAATAATGAGACATCAGAGGCACAAAGTAGCTAAATATTTGAAAGGGAGAGGAGAGAAGAGATGGGAAACAAGATCGATCAGGTGTGAGATGGTCTGATACACACAGGAGGAAGTGAAAGTATGGATCTGTCTTTTTTTCCTCGTGAATATCATCACCATATACTATGTCAGCTAAAACCCTGTCTCCCTAGGTAAGAGACTCTGATTGGGTGACCAGCCAGCGTATTATTTTCATTTTTGAAGGTTTGAGTTTCACTCCCCTTCATGGCAGAACCCTCCTAGGAGAGGGGATTCATTGGTTTCTGTTTATCCTCTCACCTTCTCCATGCTTTGTTAGGCTTCACTGCAACAAACATTTCTATATTCCCTCTAAAGCTTTTCCTTATAAAGGACATTTAAATGTAAACGTTTAATAATAACATTGACTGGACCTATTTGCGAAATGCATTGTATGTTCCATCTATACTATACTTTTGTATTCAGACCAGTTTTCGTAAATATTCGCTTGATTGCATGTGAGTTTGTTACACACGCTTAAAAGCGTATTGTTTTTCTGTCTCCTAGTTCATCCCTTCCTTCTAGGCTGTTCATCTCTGGCCTCTTTTAGATATTTACGACATATGCTTTAACATTTCTCCTACTCAGACGATCTTGGTCCCCTTGATAACCCCTTGATAACAGCTTCCTCAAAATTTTTGTCTTTAAAATAATTTCCCACAAACCCTCTTT